AGTGGCTCAAGAAGATGCTAATATAAGAGGACCTGCAAAGATGCCCCAAAGGCGGGTGGTTTAGAGAAATCAGAAAGCTTTCACAAAAATGTTTTTTTTTAATTAAACCATGAGTTAATAATGAAACAGAGAAATGACAACAAAAGTAATAATTTGTTAGACATCATAGAAGAATATTAGAAAAACTAATCCTTTGTCTCAAAAACTGGTAGACAGAGAATTAAATATTAACCTGCCTTTCTTACATGGTAAGTAACTAAAAGTTAGAATAGTGGCCACAGACTAGAATGGGATTGTGAACAGAGAGTCTACATTCTTTTTCTAATTTGCAGAAAGATCCACTATAGGAGTAGCCCTGGTTGTAAATATGAATGAACAATTCTTGAATAATTAGCAGAGACTACTACCTATGAATCAAAATTTTCTTCTCTTCTTTCTAGCCATATATGAGACAACATTTCTCAGAAATCTTTGCAATTATTTATGGCCATGTGACTAGTTCTTACCAATGGAATGGGATCAGGATAATACCTATCATTTTGGAAGCAACGCTTATCTGAAATGGATAAGGCTTCTTCCTGCTCCTATCAGCCTGCCACACACTAAATGCAGATAGTTCAGGAATGGCACAGCCATAATCTAGAAGAAACCTACATCTCTGACTCATAATGTAGAGGAAAGTGATTCCATCCAGAGAGCCCTGACTGTACTTCTACTTGAGTGGGCTCCTATGAAATAAAGGCTGAACAGGTGAAATCACCAAATTTGGGGGGCATATTTGTTACAATTAACACTATCATTCTAATATCAAAATTAGTACATAAATGTATTGACTATGGAGAATTCATCATATATATGTACATATATACACACATATATGTAGATCAATGTTAAATATTATTCATAAAAATGTTCATGCTCAGAAACATTCAATTCTTATGACTTTTTTGTCCCCGTCTCCCTTCTCTCTGCTATTTCATCTCTAATACCAAACTTGCAATGGAGACAGAGAAGCCCTCAAAAAGAAGAACTTCTTTCTTATGAAGACAGCATTAGAGCTGTTCAACTAAAAGTAAATCAGAAAATGAAAGTAAATTCAACAAGGTCACTTTACAACTTGGCCATTTGACAAAATGTCCTGGAACAGGCACATGTAACATTTTTAAAATATGTTTAGGGAGGCAAAAAGGATTAGAGGAAGGAAGGAAATAAAAAGAAAAAAGTGAAGGAAAGAAAGGAAAAAATATGAAATCCCACCCAGTTGATGACCCACCAAATATAAATCCATAACATCTCAAAAGATGGCAATGATTCATTTCTTTGCTTTTGTCAAATAGTAATGAGTGACAACACTATCTGATTTCAAACTACACTACAAAAGCAATAGTAATTAAAACAGCCTGGCATTAGCTTAAAARCAGACTCATCAACCAATCAGACAGAACAGAAAGGCTGGTAATGAATGCAAGCATGTAGTCAAGCAATTTCCAGCAAAGGTGCAAAGCACATGCATTAGGAACAGGACAGTGGGCTGGGGACATAGCTAAACTGGTAGAGTGCTTGCCTTGAGTTCAATCCCCAGCACCATAAAAAAAAAAAAAAAACAGGATAGTCATCATGGTATTGGGAAAACTAGATATCCATATGCAGAAGAATAAACCCCAAAAGCACATGCAAAAAAAAAGCAAATGGAATTACATAAAAATAAAATCTTCTGTACAACAAAGGATACATCAGAGGAGAGACAACCTATGAACTGGAGAAAATATTTGCAATCCATATATCTTATTTTTTTGCAATCCATATATCCTATAAGGCATTAATATCCTTAGGGCAAAATATAAAAGGGTCACAAACAACTTTATAGAAAGAAAACAAATAATCTGATTTAAAATGGGCAAGAGACTTGAACAGATATTTCTCAAAATATTGTATATTGATAAAATGCTCAACATCACTAACCATTAAGAAAGTGCAAATCAAAACCACAATGCATGTGTGTCAGGATGGCACCAAAAAAAAAAAAAGATAAAAAGTCTTGGCAAGAATGTAGAGAAAAGAAAATGCTTTTACGTTGTTGATAGGAATGTAAATTAGTACAGCCATTTTGAAAAACTGTATGGGAATTCCTCAAAAAACTAAAAATAAATCATCATATAATCCCATTTCTAAAAATAAATTGCCCAATTCTGGATATTTACCCCCAAAATTTCAAAATAATATGTCTAACAGATGTTTGCAGTCTTATATTCATTGTAACACCTATGTGTTCATCCATAGATGAATGCATCAAGAAAATGTAGTGTGTGTGTGTGTGTGTGTGTGTGTGTGTGTATATATATATGATAGGATACTATTCAAACTTAAAAATAATTTTTGTCCTTTGTGACAACATGGATGAAATTGGTGAACCTTATGCAAAATGAATTAAGCCAGACACAGAAAGACCAAAACACAAGTTTTTATTCAGATGTGACATATAAAATAATCGAACTCAAAATAGCATAGAATAGAATGGTGGTTCAGAGGCTGAAGGGGTGTTGGAAGGGAGAGGATGACGCAAGAGTGTGTGTGAGGCTCAAGTTGACAGGAGAAGTACATGATTATCGTTTTTTACTTTGAGATATATTTCACAGTAATATTAATATAGCAAATAATAATGCCTTGTACATTTCAAAATTGCTAAAGGAAATCTCAAATGTTTGCCGCTCAAAATTCGGTAAGAGGCAGGAGAACAAGAAAAACCAGAGTCCCATGGCACTTGGGAAGGTTGATGCGATGCTGTGTTCGAATTCGACCACAAGGGGGAGCCAGCCGCTAAGAGGTGACACAGCTCCACCCTGCGGTGCATCGTTGAATCTGAAAACAGCATCTCAATTATTAACAGGTTGAAGTCCCTTTGGAGGAAAAACTGCTCAAAAACAAATCAGGGAAAACCAGAGTTGCTAGACAGATTCAAGTTTTCAGAATTTTATTCCAGAAATTTGCTTGGTTTGGGTTATGGCTATCATTATGTGTTTAGCTATTTGAGCCAATGAAAKCAAACCAATGACAAAATGGATTGGCCAGTTCCATATGACCACATACATGTCCGGTATCAGGCAAGGATTCCTGTAGTGCTTTGCACTTAGAATAAGGAAAATTAAATCTCCTGGGTAGTGCCCTGGAGAGCACCCACAGAGGAGACTAGCAAAAGGAGAACTGGAAAGTACTTTGGCATTAATCCCGTAAAAAAGGATGCTCAGGTTTACAGGTACTACAATGGGAAACACTTTCTTGTCCTTTTGGGTGACTCCACCCTGGCCTACAGTGTCTGCTATGGGCCTCATTATTTCCCTTATTCTCCTCCTCTTCACATCTTTGTTGGCATAAGACTCTAACTAGGAGTGATAACAACATAATCAGCTGGTGGTAAAGAAATGTAAAATTACATAATTTACATGTAAGAGACTATTTTTAATTATTCACTGCCTTAGTAAAATGAACTTATAGGCTGAATACAGAATAAACATAAGTGACCACGTTTCCATTATTTCAGGGATGAGGACTGACCCAAAGCACTTTCTCTGGGTTCTACAGAAAGATACCAGGTTGTAGTTTTTGTGTTTTGTTGTTGTTTTTGTTGTTTTGTTGTTTGTTTTTGTTGTTGTTGTTTGTTTTTGTTGTTGTTGTTTCTTTTTTATCTTTGTTGTTATTTTAGTGGAATATAAGAGTTTATGAAAAACTATTCAGTCCAAATCCCAAGGACATAAACACAAAACCAAAAGAGGAAAAAGAGAACATAAATGTCTTGAAATTTTTTAGCCTAATTGATCAGTTCACACTCAAAACACCTAAATACCTTGGCCTTCTGCTTGAGAGCCATTGGTTAAGGACATCCTCCCTCTCAGAAATAAAAACCTTCCTGTACTCCCCACAGGAGAAATTCAACTAACACTGCAAAGATCCTGACTCCCCCAGCCAGCATTGATATTTTGTTAATGTGGGTGGGATTCTGTAGGAATTCAGTCACTTTTGCCTTGTTAATTTCCTATTGTTTACCGTGAACCATTCTGAAGCTTTGAATAATCCAAGTATGAAAGAAGACACACTCCTTCTTTTTAGATTTTGACTGTGCCTATTTTTTTAAAAACATACATTACCTGGCACAATGGTGCTTATCTATAATCCCAGCAGCTCCGGCAGCTGAGGCAGGAGGATTGCAAGTTCCAAAACCAGCCTTAGCCACTTAGGGAGACTCTAAGCAACTTAGTGAGACCCTGTCTCAAAATTTAAAACAAAAAAGGCTGGGAGTGTGCTCACTGGTTAAGTGCCCCTAGGTTCAGTCCATGGTACCAAAAAACAAAAAAACATATATACAACTATTAAAACATAGATATTTGGGCTGGGGTTGTGACTCAGTGGTAGAGAGCTTGCCTAGCATGTGTGAGGTGCTGGGTTTGACTTTCACCACATACAAACAAATAAATAAATAAAGGTCCATCAATAACTAATAAAAAATTTTTAAAAACATAGATAATTAAAAAAAAAGCAATCTAAAAGCTCCCATCATCATGGTACAAAGAGACATGGAGAGAGAAAAAGAGGAAGATGGAGAGATGGTGAAAAGACAGAAGAGAGAAAGCAGCCTAGACTTAGTGCTTGTCACCAAATTGGTGCTCAAGAAATACTTGTCAAATGAAAGACGAAATTACTTGGGCATTGTATAACAAGGGAATGATTACAAGGTGAATATTTACTTGAGGACCATTCCATGTTGTTTCAGCTCTTCTCAACATGCCCTATGTGCGGTGCTTTAAGAATTAATAAATAGTGCCRTCATGAGCTGTGCATGGTTCTTTAAGATGCTATTTCCCTGGTGGTGGACTCTCATTTTGGACTCCAAGCCAACAATCAGAAAGTCCTCTTTACTCACCTGCTGGTATGGAGACAGCTTCCCACATGCTGTTTTTAGGTAGTTTTCTAGGTTCAAACTCACCACATTTGCCAGGCATACTTACACAGCGGCTCAGTTTCTGCCGAAGGCTATGAAAATCTTCCACAAAGTCTATTTCCTTGCAAATTTGTAATTGGAGTCCACCAAAAACATCTTCCATGAAGAAGGACAGAAGCTGTTCCTGGAATCTGCAGTTTTTCTACAAATAAGATACAAGAAGTTCATAATTTATAAGGTCTGAATAGTTTGGGTCATTTTTTTCTTTTTAATGTCACTGAAACATCCCCTGGATTATTACTTAATGACTCTGAAAAAAATCAAAACWCAGGGCAAAAGCATTGAACTAGTAGAACCTAAAAATGAACTTCCCATCTTACCATAAATAGCTTTTTTGTTTTCTTTTTTAATAATCGTATATTTTTTATGCGGTCTTCCTACAATAAAATAAAGCAAAATCAGTGGTATCCAGGATTACAGTGTCCTTTACGTCCTCCCCTCAAGCAGAACCTAATACTTACTGGAATTGTTGCTTTGAGCCAGGCTGCCTTGACATAGAAAGTGTCGACAGCTTGGGACAGCAACTCCCTGGAGTGACAAGGTTGGGTGAAGGAGGATTGAGATGGCTTGTGCTTAGCAAGAGCAAGAGACAGAGTGGCACACAGCAGCCCGGACCTCAGCATGCAACTCACCCACATCTCTCTCCCCACTCACAGCAGCCACAGCATCATGTTGGTTAGATTAGAGGATGACCTACTTAAAGCCGCCTACTCAATGCAATGCTGTGAGCCGTGACTTACAATTTATATACAGGACAATCACTTAATTTTGCTTCATAATCAAAAAAGGTTGACTGCACCATCTGTAGTGTTATGTAAAAGTTCATTTACCAGCAAGATCTGGCCCCCATTTCCAAAATAAAATTCAGAACTTCGGATGTGTATCACAACAGATCGCGTTATTTCAAAAGTCATGCCATTTCAATAAGAAAGCACGAGCTCGAAGAGGCTGTGTGATTATTTTAATCCTCATAGGCAAATCTTCTTTTTAAACCAGAAACTCTAAAAATTAACCAATGGCTAGAAAGAATAGCCCTGTGAAGCTTGCTTATGACCCCAAGTGTGTTTTATGTCCACCTCTTACAAATCCTTCAGCTTGTAAACCTCTCATCCGGAAATCATCAACCTGCTCCTAGTAGCAGGACTTTTCTTACCCTGAAAATTGTAGCTCCCCTAACATTTTCAAGATTTCTTTGGATCTGGACTTGGGATAAGGTCTACAACTTAATCTTTATCTTTATCCAAGTTTATCATAGACTTTTCCTCCAACTGCATGTCCAGTAAAGTGAGACTCCCTTGAAGAAAGGGACTGTGTTAGTTAGCTTTCCATMACCACGACAAGACCTGAGAAAACAACTCGAAGGAGGAAAGATTTATTTTGCATCATGGTTTCAGAAGTTTCAGTTCAAGGTCAGCTGACTCCATTGCTTTGGGCATCAGTCAAGGCAGTCAACCCCCTAACACAGTCCCTTTCTTCCAGGGAGTCTCACTTTACTGGACATGCAGTTGGAGGAAAAGTCTGAGTAATGAACTTGGATAAAGATGATAGAGCATCTATTAAGTTGTAGAACTTATGGTGGTGGTAGGAGTGTGTGGCAGRGGAGGCCGCTCACCCCATGACAGCCGTGAAGCAGAGAGAGCCAGGCAGGGGGAGAGAAAGGGAGGGAGACTGGGAGCAGGAAGGGGAGAGATCGGAGAGCTGGGGACAAGATACCCTTCAAAGCCATTCTCCCAGTGATCCATCTCTTCCACCTAAAGTTCCCGCCACCTCCCAATGGTGCACTCAACTTAGGACCAGGTCTGCAACACATGAGACTTTAGGGGACATTCCAGGTCCAAACTAGCGCAGAAACCATATCTTTTCATCTTTGTATCCTCTGTATCTACCATAGTGCCTCATCGTAAGAATAAAAGCACATTTTCCTCATCATGAGGTGCTATCATAACTGCTTTTTTAAAAAATTTATTCCATGCACAAATTTTYCATAAGGACCTGCCTATACAAAGAACAGTTCTAAAGTTCTAAGTACTAAGGGGCTCACAGGAGGCTGCTCTGTGAACCCCCATCCTCAATTCTGTCCCAGTTCTTCCTGTAGTGACAAGTAAGGTTCATTTTGGATAGCAACCCTAGTATAAGAGATGGGCACAGCCCAGGGTCATATACTGAGAAGCAGAAGTAGGTCACCAAGTCCTACCAAGAATAGAGTTAATAGAGCGAGAGGGCACATCAACACTGGAAATCTGGTTGTAAGAGATTCATCAAAACCAGGCAGAGTCAATAGTAAGCATCAGAACCCAAGACTAAATTCTAAATCAAGGCAAGCAGGCTGTCAAAGGAGCAGGAGAAAGAAAGAAGAGGTGATMAATCTAAAATCTTATGAGTATTTTCTATCATTTCTAAAGTGAGAGGATCCCTTTGAAGATTTCAAGACGTACTTTATTAAATGACATAAAGACTATTCACAAAGAATAACAGTACAGACAGCAGGATGGAAATGYCATGTGAGACTCACTGAAATTTTATAAAAATTCAGAAGGAAGAAGTATTTTTGACTGGGAGTGGCTGAAAGGGTGGAACATGAAGTGGCTGGGGGTTTTTGAGAACAGGAGTGCTAGTATTCAAGGTTCTCTTGGGGAAAAAAAAAAGTGTAAACTCCAGGAATCCAACACTTGCATGCCTGTGGAGGGCGTGGGATGAACATGAAAGCTCTGCCAGACTTAATGTAGGATGCTTGTGGTTAAACTGCCTGTGTTGTCACCAACCCCCAAATCTGCCAACTGCATAGCCTATTGACATCTGTGTGGTACAATCAAAGGACCACACAAAACACCTCCAGGAGCCAAATTCTGCCTTGAAGGCCAAGTGGGATCCCTGGTGCATCCCAACAAAACTTCTGTGCAATTTGAATTGCTAGTATTAATAAATGAAGATGATGTGGGTTCTGGCTATTTTTTAACCTCTGGAATTTCATTTTCCCAAATGACTGTGTCCCTCAAATCATCGTCATTCAAAGATCATACATATTCCAAGAATGCCTGTGCTTTGATTTGTCACCACGTCTATGACTGAAAACTCACTCTGTGGATCATAGTCATCATCTGGGCCAGCAGACCTGCCTCATTAGGCTCCTTTAACAGTCAACTTGACCTCAAAGGATAAACAGTGCACACTACAAAGGATACTCACCACACGGGGCCTGAAGGCCATTTCAACAGGGAGTCCCCAAGTGGAACTTGTACATAGTATCCTTGTGGCAACAATTTAAAAGACAGTCCTTTGCTTGTTGGGGTATATGTTTACTATGCCACTTTCACAGGTTTCTTGTACAGAAATGTCTAAAAATTATTGTTAATTACAAGAATTTGTGACTTTGAAACTGATCCACCACTCACTAGCTGTGTGGCCTTGAAGGAATTACTAATCCTCTCTAAGCTTTAGTTTTTGCCATTATTAAAATGGGACAATAAATATACCTACTTCTGATAATTTTTATAAACAAACAGAAATTGCAGTAATACAAAAATAAATGTCCTCAATGACAGCCATAGAAGCACTCTGTAAATCGTGGCAATTGCTTCAGAAGCTGTGGGAAGCTTTGGTTGAAGAAAGTGAGAAGTGATCCACARTCCAATATTTCAGAGCGGGTAGGTGTGAGGATGCAATTACTCTCACTTACTTCCAGAGGGCAGACAAGGACCATCAAGCAGATATTTTAGGGCTGCTAATCCTGCATAATGTACAGTGAAAACAAACAATTGATCTGCCCAAAATCATAGTGAATGCTCCAATTCCCAAACACCAGTATGGCAATCATTCCCCTTAAAAATTAAGTTCTGTCCCACCCCAAAGAACACAAGCTACAAAGTCCCTGATGGCCCAGCTTGTCCAATAAATGAAATGTGTGGGAGACCAACCTTACAGGTGACTGGATTACACTCCCCCGGCTGGGTGTTGAGGCGCTCAGTSGCAGAAATGTGGCAGAGCTTTCCCTACCCTTCTTGGGTTCGAGGGTCGGTGTCTCGTGCATGGGTGTGTCTTGCTACAGCCCCGTGGGTGAAGCTACGCTCACCTGTTCCATTGTAATATAACCCCTTGCCCTGTTTAGGATAGAATCTTCCATGGAAGTGACTTGTGTGTGTGTGTCCCCTTCTCTTACTGTGCCTTTGTGTGGCCTACCCAGGTGTCAGTCAACCTGCTGACAGTGGACATCATGAAGATAGACTCAGCCCCCTGAAACCTGACCCCTTGCCTCCTTTGAATAGCTTCTCCTCAATAAAAGGGGTCAGCGCATGCTCTCCTGCTCTCGCTCTCTCTCTTTCTGGGGACTCTTAAGATCAGAGGAGCCGTCACAGCAACCCAAAGAAAAAGGTACTTGTGTCTCTTGTGTGGTTATTTTGTGCAGCCCAGTTAGCCCAGTTTAACTGGAGTGACCCCTGAGCCTTTTAGAACAGAAACCCGGCAGAAATGAGTGCACCAACTCACACAGCACAGCGTGTTTCCAGACAACACAACTTCTTTACTGCTTTCCTCCTATGGGAGAAAACAACAACAAAGAGATCCCTCAATTACTAATCCATTTAATTGACTCTAAAATACTTTTTCCCTTCATTTTAGTGTCTCTAAAATCATAATATGTCTTTTAATTCACAGAGACTTTAACTGCACCCCCCAGTCTGAGTCCTGTCCCATGCAGTCCCAAAACTGCTCATATCCAGTAATGATGTAATCACTTCAGTTGAACTTTGTGCATACAGACAGTTGCTGGGCAGATGTCCTCAGGGAAGTGTTTTCTGTGTGAGATTTGCACAAGGATGTGGTCTAACAAAGCCTTTTGAGACAGTTCTTGTTACCAAGCATATGAGTATTAGAGCCTCTCCTTCAGACCCCCTGGATTCTTTCACTTATTTATTTTTGTTAGCATTTGACTCCAGCTTCATTCTGAAAAGTTTCCCAGGGATGGAGGTACTGAGATGGGTACGAAAATAGGAAATGGATGATCATASCAACCCTCAATATAAAGGTAACATTTAAGCAATAGCTTGAATGAAGTAAGGGACGAACTATAATGATCCATGTTCAGTCCAAAGAAAGAGTCAATCAATGTAAGAGCCTCAAAAAGTGCCTGTTCAGTACAGCCTGGGAGGCTGGACTGGATGGAGGGGAGTAGGAACAAGAGAGAGGAAACACAAACCAGATCACACAGAACATTTTGGGCTATTGGCAAGACTTTGAATTATATTCTATTATATGGGARTTTTGACAAGAGAAGCTCTGTCATTTGATTTATATTCCTTAAAAAGAAAATGGGACTCACGTGTCCATCAATGATTGGAGAGAGAGGTCAGTTGCTAGAAATACATATGGAATATCACTGAGTCATAAAAAGGCTGATACAGGCTACAACATAGATCCACCATGARGGCATATGTCAAGTGAAAGACACTAGACACAAAGACCACATATTTAAAATTCTATATATATGAAACATCAAGAATGGGTTAATACCTATAAGAGCTAGAAGGAGGGGTTAATGGGACCTAACTGCTGATAGGTATGGGGTTCCCTGTGGAGGTCTTGAAAATGCTTTGGAAGTAGTTAGAGGGGGGTTGCATGACAATATGAATGTGCTAAATGCCAA